AATCATAAATAGTGTGACAATCATAAAGTGCATTTAAACTGAGTATCCTTAATGTGAACAAAATCTCTCCTGCATTACGAATAGATTTATAAAGTTCATTTTGAACTTGTTGTGCCGCTTAATGATATCAAGGATGAAATTAAGTTTAAATTTTATTTATGTAATAAATGCATGAACAAATTAACACTGCAAGTGGATGCGTAAACGGCAGATTTTGTTCTTTTAAAGTGAGAACTCACACAGATCCACCCCCATGCCTTGCCATTTCTTTTCCTCCCACTATGTTGTTCCATTTCAGTGAAAGAAAGGAATATTCCTATCTTGTGTAAGTTAGATTTCCACAGAACATCCACTAGATTTTCACTCCAGATGTTTCATTCTTCCTATTCAAATTAAAAGCAGCCCACGGTTCCTTTGTTGTCTGCATGTACATTGCATACCAAAATATTGGCAAAGGAAAAAGGCTATCAGTGACAGAAAATTAAATGGAAGGTGAACAGCGTGCAGTACAGTGCAGTATATAAAGATGTGGAAGAGAGTGGAAGTTGAAATAATGAGAATATTGCAAAAGTAAACCACTATACTTAACCCCAGCAGGAACAAAAGGAAACTGTTCTTAAAATGATAGCATTCACATTCCATGAGCCTTCTGCAGTACAATTGCAAAACAGTACAATTGCAACATATAACAACAGACATTTATAACTGAAAATTCTGGACATGGGCAGAGATAGCAGAGAAGTGATGTTGGAATTTTTTTTTAAAGTAACATATTCATAATTATATTTTACCTCTTGAACTGTTAACGTCCATCTTCAAACTTTCACTTTTTTTTAGAGGAAAGCTTAGGTTTGTGATTCTAATGCCAAAAACCTACACATACTTATTGGACCAGCTGCTGTTCAGTTACACATAATTGTTATTTGAAACTTAGGCATTCAAAACAAGACTCAAAAGATGTTACATGCTCAGTGCTGCTGCTTGTGTAGTTGAAGTAAAGTGGAGTAGGGAGTTAAACAGACAGTTGCTACTGGAGAAGGACTGAGAGCAACATCATGAGAGGGGTGTTTTTAGGACCAAGCAGAAACTGCAAAGTTCCCTTGTTAATTTTGTTATTGGATCCTGGATGTTGTTTATGTAATCATGCTACAGTATATTTATAGTTCTGAAATGTTGATTTTTGTAAGTTATTATGTTTGCTATTGTGTTGTTTGGCTATGTTATTAGGAATCTCTTTTTGTACCATTTTGTTTTGAAATATACAGTGGTACCTCAGGTTACAGACTCTGCTAACCCAGAAATAGTACCTCGGGTTAAGAACTTTGCTTCAGGATGAGAACAAAATTCCTGGCGGCAGCAGGTGGCTCCATTAGCTAAAGTGGTACCTCAGGTTAAAAACAGTTTCAGGTTAAGAACAGACCTCCAGAACGAATTAAGTTCTTAACCCGAGGTATCACTGTATTGCTTTCTTTGTGCAAGTTGCCTTGAGCATAATTTTTGTGTGTGTGGCAACGTGGCATACACATAAATGAAATGAAATGAGACAGTGGAGGTTCGTGTTCATTGGAAGTGCCAGTTATAGTTTTGACCTCAGCTTCCCTGTTAAGTTTTACAAAGGGTAAGCTGAGTCTAAGGAGCAGGAAACTGACACACAGTGCCATTCTCTAGACAGGTTGTACATAGGGAGGCAGGCAGGTGGGGGCTAGCTGAGGGCAGTATCAGGATGGTTGGATAGTGCCCCATATACCTAATGAAGCAGCCCCCACTGTAAACCGTCTTATATTCTCTATAGCTTTGTTTCTTTTTTTTTTCTTTTTTTTCTTTTCCAGATGGATCATGCTACCCAGAGACAAACCAATGGCAGGATATATTTATTTATTAAATTTATATCCCCCATATCCCTCCTTCCAAAATGCCAGTGTAAACTGTTTTTTGCTATTTCTGGGTGCCGCCCAGAAAACAACTATTCTGTAGTGCCTGCTAATTAGAATGAATGTAAATCAGAGGGGAGGTTAGGCCAGCCATCCCCAACCTGGCACCCAGAAATGTTGGTCTACAACTCCCACCACACCATTGGCCATGCTGACTGGGGCTCAAGGGAATCGTAGTATGAAACATCCAGAGGGCACCATGTCTGGGAAAGATTGATCTCTAGGCACATATCTAAATACACCAATGTTTCAAATCTGTTTCTTGCATAGGGAAGCTGTTGGAATCCCTACTCAGCCATGAACAATAGGAGCCAACTCCTAAGGGCCCTTTGCCCCCCCCCCCAATAAAATATTTGACCTCCTAAAATTGATGGGCAACACCATGCAAATGGTGTGTGTGCACCGCGTCATGCAGGGTAGGCTTACTCCCCCCCCTCTATTTTTTCTTCAAGTTGGCACCCCCTGGCCACAATGAAGCTCACCTTAGGCCAGTCACTATATCTTAGGCTAACCTATTTCATAGGAAAGTTGTGAGGATGAATGGGGAGGAGGGGATACCCATGCACACACCACCTTGAGACCCTTGGAGGATTAAAGGTGGTACATAGATGTATAAATAAAGCAGGAAGAGGGTTATTACGCTTTTCCTCTGGGATCATGTCCAGCAACAGACCCTCCCAGTGTCCCTAATTTCCAGGGACAGTCCCGGATTTGCAGAAGCCATCCTGATTTCTGTTTTGACTCCAAAATGTCCCGCTTTTCTGTTCCTATTTCCATTGGAGGGTATGGACTTATCTAACTCCTGAGCCATTTGAAGGAAGCCCTGTATAGGGAAGGTTTTTTTTAAAAAAAATGTTTTATTATGTTTTTCTTATATAATTTTTATTAAATTTTCTGTTTTACAATTTAAAATACTCGTTTTGCATCTTTAAGATATCAGTAACTTCCCTTCTTCTCTTTCCATGGTTCATTTTACATATCATAAATCTCTGCACATTTTACAAAAAAACTATACCATTCAGTATTCCATTATTGCATCCATCAAAACTTGTTTACATGGTTGAATTTATCTTAATGCTGCCAGCGTTTTCAGCTGTATACAATTATTTCCCATATATTCAATAAAACGTTTTACCAATTTTCTTTAAACGTTACGTTCTTCTTGTTCTCTTATTCTATATGCTAAGTCTGCGAGTTGTGCATATTCTCTCAACTTATGTTTTTAGATACAGTGGTACCTTGGTTCTCAAACGCTTTGCTACTCAAACAACTTGGAACCCAAACACTGCAAACCCAAAATATGTGTTTGAGAACTATTTTTGGAAGCCAAACATGTTCAGTTTTGAGTGTTACACTTCCGATTTGAGTGCAACACTTCTATTTTGAGTGTTAAGCTGAGGTCTGTCTGTTTTTGCTATTAATTTTGCGTTTTTGCTTTTGCGGCTTCTTTGTTTTGTTTTGTGACTGTGCGGAACTCAGTTCTGATTGATTGTGTGATGACAGTACAATGTTTACTGCTTTCATTTTATGGATCAGTGGTCTCGTTAGATAGTAAAATTCATGTTAAATTGCTGTTTTAGGGGTTGTTTTAAAAGTCTGGAACGGATTAATCCATTTTGCATTCCTTTCTATGGGAAAGCGCGCCTTGGTTTTGGAACGCTTTGGTTTTGGAACAGACTTCTGGAAGGGATTAAGTTTGACAATAAAGGTACAGTACAGCTGTATGTAGCTAGAGAGTTCCAGAAAGACATCTACTTCTGCTTCATTGACTATGCAAAAGCCTTTGACTGTGTCGACCACAGCAAACTATGGCAAGTTCTTAAAAAGAAATGGGAGTGCCTGATCACCTCATCTGTCTCCTGAGAAATCTCTATGTGGGACAAGAAGCTATAGTTAGAACTGGATATGGAACAACTGATTGGTTCAAAATTGGGAAAGGAGTACGACAAGGCTGTATTTTGTCTCCCTGCTTATTTAATTTATATGCAGAATACATCATGCGAAAGGCTGGGCTGGATGAATCCCAAGCTGGAATTAAGATTGCCGGAAGAAATATCAACAACCTCAGATATGCAGATGACACAACCTTGATGGCAGAAAGTGAGGAGGAATTAAAGAACCTTTTAATGAGTGTGAAAGAGGAGAGCGCAAAATATGGTCTGAAGCTCAACATCAAAAAAACGAAGATCATGGCCACTGGTCCCATCACCTCCTGGCAAATAGAAGGGGAAGAAATGGAGGCAGTGAGAGATTTTACTTTCTTGGGCTCCATGATCACTGCAGATGGTGACAGCAGCCACGAAATTAAAAGATGCCTGCTTCTTGGAGAAGGGCAATGACAGGCCTAGACAGCATCTTGAGAAGTAGAGATGTCACCTTGCCAACAAATGTCCGTATAGTTAAAGCCATGGTCTTCCCAGTAGTGATGTATGGAAGTGAGAGCTGGACCATAAAGAAGGCTGATCGCCGAAGAATTGATGCTTTTGAATTATGGTGCTGGAGGAGACTCTTGAGAGTCCCATGGACTGCAAGAAGATCAAATGCATCCATTCTTAAGGAAATCAGACCTGAGTGCTCACTGGAAGGACAGATCGTGAAGCTGAGGCTCCAGTACTTTGGCCACCTCATGAGAAGAGAAGACTCCCTGGAGAAGACACTGATGCTGGGAAAGATGGAGGGCACAAGGAGAAGGGGGCGACAGAGGACGAGATGGTTGGATAGTGTTTTCGAGGTTACCAGCATGAGTTTGACCAAACTGCGGAAGGTAGTGGAGGACAGAGGTGCCTGGCGTGCTCTGGTCCATGGGGTCACAAAGAGTCGGACACGACTAAACGACTAAACAACAACAACAGCTGTATGTTGGAAGCCGCCCAGAGTGGCTGAGGCAATAAATATCACCATCACGGAATACGACGCCCTTATTGGAGGGTGTGCGACAAATTCGATCAGGTGAAGTGGGACGAGCTTCACCTGTTGAATGTCCAAAAAAAAAAAAAAGCAGCACAGGAGCCCTATTTTATTTGTTGGGAGAGGCGGGAGGGAGCAGCGGGAACACTTCCAAGCTGCAGTGCCGTCTCGGCGCTTTGGTGGCGAGAAGGGGAGAACAATCGCAGGAAGCCACAGCCGCGCCAGGCGCCTCCGGGCCCAGGAGAACAAACAAGCCCGTCAGGCCGCCCGGGTCTTTCGCCCGCCTGAGGCAAAGGAGGGGAACCGGGCGGTGGGGACTGGGGGGCAGGCTGAGGTAACAACGGCGGCCGAAGCTCCTCCCCTGCTCGGGGCCGTTCTCTTCCCCGGCGGAGGAACATTGTGACGCTGGCGGCGCTGGAACACCTGGAGCCACGGCGGCCGCGGGCGACGTGAGGTAAAAACAAAAGCAAACCATTCTCGGGCGGAGGAAAGGGGAGGGGAGTCCCTGGCCAGGCAGCGGCCGCCATGAGGCTCCCCCTGTGAGGAGGGGCGCGAGGCCGCGGAGCCCTTCGAGGGAGTTGGGGGGGACGGGGACGACGCACGCAGCCTCCCTCCGCCCCCTTCCCTCAGAGCCGCGGGCAAGGTAGGTGGGGAAGGAGCGCCGCTTCGGCCCAGCTGGAAAAGCAGGTTCTTCCTCCTGAGGCAGCGGTAGCCGCCGCCGCCGCCGCCGCAGGGCGGAGCCGCGCATGCCGGGCAGGGACCACCAACCACCTCGGCAGGCGGCAGGCGGCGTGTCTCTCACGGAGGAGGAGGAGGAGAGGCGAATAGCTCGGGGATGCCTGGAAGCAGGAGGTGGGTCGGGGTGCGAGGGTGGGGCGCGTCCCTGGCAGAGGGAGAAGGGAGCTGCAATGGGGGGGGGTCAGGATTCAAACCCCCCCCCATTGCTTCGCCTGGGTAACCACAATTCCCCCGGTTCCAAAATGGCATCTCTCCCCCCCCCCCCCAACGCCTCAGCCTTTGCTTGCTCGGTATCCCCCGCCCTCCCTTCTCATCCATTTAGCAGATATGACAACCAGCAGGTGCATTTGCTTCCTCCTCCCCGGTTTGGTGTTTTTCTTTTTTTTTCCTTTCGTAATTTGCTGCATTATTTGCTTTCAGTCGTTAACTTGGGCGCCTGCTGTTCACAGGCCAGGGAAGCTGCTACTGACACTTTTTGAGGTCAGCAGCACAGTGTTACCATTCAAGCTGATAAGGAATAATAATGGGTATTATTATTATTATTATGAAACCCAGTGCTTTTTTTCCTGGGGCTACGCATACCCCTAAACATTTTGTGAATCTAAGTTTGGCCTCACTGAGGGGCAGTATTTCAATATGAGTAGGGAAATGAGAGTACCCCTAAACATTTTTTAAAAGGAAAAAAAAGCACTGATTAAATCTACAGCACTGGTACCAGAGGGGCCAACTTGAATGAAGTATTGGGGGGTGGCGACACATAAGCCCGGTCCCACATAATCAATCACAAGATGCGGCACCCACCCACTATTTGAATGGCAACGTCCATTAACTTGGGGTGGGCACTAAGCCCCCTCAAATGTTTTTTGGGGGGCAAAGGGACCCCGGCCCCTGAGAGTTGGCTCTGAGGATTGGTACTTTGGGTGCCTGCTAGGCACTGCACAAGCCCTGAATTGTATGGTCTTGATCTGTGTTTTAGAGATTGCATTATCCAGTGATAAAGTCTTGTCTCAGCTTCGTAAACTGTAATATGAATGCGCCTTTTGCCCACAAATGCGTGCAGCCCCTTTGCTTCTTTCCCGGCTGATTCTGCCGACAAATCAGGACAGGGTGCCAACTTGAATAACATATTGGGGGGCATGTAAGCAGCACCCCACATAATTGATCACAAGATGCGGTACATGCACACCATTTGAATGGCAATGCCTATCAACTTTGGGGGAGGGGAACCAGCCCCCTCAAATATTTTATTTGGTGGTGCAAAGGGACCTTGCCCCCTAGGAGTTGGCTCCTATGAATGGGGAAGTTTCCAGTCTTATCCAAACCAGGAAACTATGGTTATCAGCTGCGGAACAAGCCAGTATGTTAAACCATGATTTGAAGTTGTTTTAATATCCTAGCTTGTAACCATAGATTCATGGTTTGGATGATACAGGAAATGATGGTTAATTGGAGACTTACTGGCTTGGTTGCAAGGAGTGGTGGCGCTGCATGCATAGGGGAAAGGCTCATTTGTAGCTTGACCCATTAAGTATTCAATATATGATCATCTGAAAGCAGAAATCATGAATTATAGCTTATAACTTGCACCATCTGAAATGTTTAAGATCATGATGGCAACTGTATTGCACTCCTGTCCTAGAAATAGTGGCAGGTTAACAGGAGGACAGGGAGAACAGGTGGATGGAAAGCTCCCTGGGGGCTTATTTAGACCTCATCATCCTTGTATGCTGCCTTTCCATAGTTAAACCATGCTTACAATATCGATATGAAAACAGCATTAAATATGCAATAAAATCAGACAATCCCTACCTAATTCATCATAAAGTATTGACAAGAAAAATACAATAACAGTTGCAATATCAGTAAAAATGCTTCTCCAAAATAAACTCTCAACCCAACAGAAACCACCAAACACCACCACCACCCTGGTAGTTTCTAGGCATCCTGAGCAGGAAGTCTCTTTGGGCTTAAGAGCAAGATAATCTCTGACCCCTTCAGCAGCAGCTTTGTAGTTGGAGTCTGTCAGGACCCTACCCTCCCTAAGCCATACTTCACTGTATGTATCTTATATGTTGCCAGTGTTCTCCATGCATTGCTTCACGTTGTATATCCCACCTAGTCTCCAAGGGCACTGTGAGATGGGGACTTGTCCAAAGTCATCCTGTGACCTTCATAGCCGAACAGGGTTTTCACCTGAGTTTGACAAGTCCATGCAAAACTTTCAGGAAATGACTCTGATAACAAACTTGAAGGAAACCCTTTCAAACCAATCCAAGTGAGAATTTCTGACATCTCTGATGTAGACTCACAGGAAGTGTGGCATACATGCCAGACTGTATTTGAGCAACTTTTTCATAACAAAGACTCAAACTAAACAGTAACAATGAGTATCACTGTTTTGTTGATGTTTCTAATTACATTTTGCAGATACTGTAGTTATTTATTGATTTCATTGTATTTATGTTGTAAGCTGCCTTGATATTTGTTGCAAAAGTGCGGCTCACAAATATACAAATAAATGATAGTTTGCCTTCCAGCCAGACAACTCATTCACCAGCTGGAAAGGTTCTGTTGTCACAAGGTAGCAAACTACCCATCACTGCCACTTCATAGGCCTGGATATGGACTCCCTGGGATATGCAGTCATTTTTTTGCTTGGGTCTTTCTCCACTGGTGCTCAAGTTCTTTCCTAGCCCATTTCATAGATCCCAGCACTTTAATATACTAGGGTGTCAAGGAGGCATTTGTTTAAGCCCTCTGCAGTCACTATCTGGTTCTAGGCATGCCACCAGCATCAGTTTTCTATCTGAAAAAATATTGTTCATCATAATGGTTCCACAAGTGGAAAATGGAAATAGTCGTCATGTTCTGTAGAGAGTTGTTGGAAGAACAAACCAAAATAAAGTTGTAAATCATTCAGTACATAAATTGTGCTGTATACCGAAGAGAGCAGCTTAATGAATATTTTGTTCTACTAAGAATGCTAATTTTATTTGTCAAATGTACATATATTTATTTATTGAATTTGTATACCCATAGATCTCAGGGCAGTTCACAACATATGTTGTCTCTTTCCTCCATGTAGTTAAAAAACGGTGTATATTCCCTGGTCTAAACAACTTCAAAAGCAGATGATGTACCGTATCTTTTGCTCTATTGGACGCACCAGACCATAGGACGCACTGGACCATAGGAGGGGGAGAACAGGGGGGGGAAATTTCTTGCTCTCCCCCTCTAAGTCAAGGTGTGTTCTGTGCATTCAAGGTGCGTTCACCGGAAGCCTCCGGTGCCCAGCGGGAGTTCCCACTGGGCTCCGGAGGCTTTGGATTCCTTTCGACCTGCTCTTTGGGGCTGGCGGGGGGGAGAGCGCTGCTTTCCCCCACTGCCAGCCCCAAAGACCAGGTCGGGGGACAGCGGGAAGCTGTCCCCCCAGCTTGTGGGGCTGGCGGTGGGGAAAGCAGTGCTTCTCCCCACCGCCAGCCTCCAAACCAGGTCGGGTTTGGAGGCTGCTATCCGCAAGCCTTGGGAGCCTGGCGGGAACTCCCGCTGGGCTCCCCAGGCTTGCGGATATCTGCCCGAAGCCTGGAGAGCGAGAGGGGTCGGTGCGCACCGACCCCTCTCGCTCTCCAGGCTTCAGCGAAAGCCTGCATTCGCTCCATAGGACGCACACACATTTCCCCTTCATTTTTGGAGGGGGGAAAGTGTCCTATAGAGCGAAAAATATGGTAAATAACATAACTGAATGCTTTCCAGTGTTAACCAGATAAAATCTTTTAAACATAGAAACTAGCAAATCAATGGAAGATTTCCACATGCAGCTTCGTATTTATTCATTTGATTAATTTATGAATCACTTCCCAATGAAGCATGCAGAAGCAATATACAATATAATATAATATAATATAATATAATATAATATAATATAATATAATATAATATAATATATGTCACAAATATTAAAACAGTTAAAGCAATTGCATATATAAGAACAATGGGAAACATATAAGCATGTGACAGGAAACATTTGAGCATGTGATTGCTGACTTGCAGCATCCTTGGAAGAGTATAGCCACATGAAGTTTCTGAATATGAAGTTTGGCTCTTAAACATAAAGACTCTTACAGACAAAAGCAACCTGAACGAATGGGTATGATTATGCGAGTTTTTAATGTTCATTGGGCCCAGGATCCCAAGAATTGTTTCTCTTGAAGAAAATTTGAAGAACACTTAATATTATCCCAGTCAAGTAGTTTATCATGTGTGAAAAATGATGCAAAAATAGAAGTTGAAAATACCTGTGTATCAGCATAAAAGCAAGAAAGCCGCACATAATTGCATTCTTCTGCCAAACTTGGTGCATGATCAGGCTGGAAGTTAACATTTTAGTTCCACTGAATCTAGATAATGCTTAATGCATTAAATTACACTGGATCGCTCAGTGGACCCATATATCCTTTAGAATACCACATTGCCAGACCAGACAGGACTCTGTCCCTCATTCTGGTAGGGGGTGGGGAGGCAGAAGTATTTCAGCCTTCATCAACCTGGTACCTTTCAGATGATTTGGACTACTACTCCCGTCATCCCCAGCCAACAAATGCTCATTAGGACTGATGTCACCAATTTTGTTTTTAGATGTGGGTTACCATTTTAAAATTAACAGATGGCTATGCTAAAAGCAATATATGCTGCTAATTGCTAGTGTAGAATGCTGAA